GAATTTTTCTTTGTCCCACGCTCGTGTCATGTTGATTAATTCACCCTCACATTTCATTACCGAGCTTAAAATTCACCATCTTTATTAACTTATCACAACGAATTCAATTGTTCCCCGCTTAACGAACGAAATTAGATAAAGATGGCTGATTGTCCTACAAGGAATTAGAAGTTCAAGAATCGTTTCTGTATTGAGTGAAATATGGCAAACACTTTTACTTCGAGTATTTGCGAGACCTTGCTTCAACACAGCCATGCAATTTGAACGAAACAAAAGGACTTACTAGATTCGTCAGGCTCCTCTTCAGATTGGTAACCAGAGCTCGCTCCTAATGATGTCGCCGAAGAGGCCCTGGGTCGAGCTTGAGTTGTGGCGTCATCTGGGTGGGTCGGAGAAAAAGAAGATCAAACGGCAGTTCCTTAACCTAATTATATGGATAAAAGTTTTATTTATTGTAACTTTTTATAGTTAGTCACAGTCATTGTGAGCAATCTGAATTGTTAGTTTTGTCATCTCTCGCGGTATTTTCTCTGATCTCTTGAGGACCTTGAGAAGAGAATTATCAGTATACCTTAGTCAAAAATCTGGACAAAACGTTATAGAATCGAATATTGCACCTGTATCTTGCCCCTGAAATCGTTCTAGCTCTTTATCCTTTTTCGTTAACTTTTGCTGCAACAATTCATTTTCTTTCTCCAGCTCATGCACCTTTTCACGAAGCTCAGGAATATCACTTGTCATGACATTGCTTTCCTCAACCCTTTCGTGTTTCGTAGTCTTCGCCAGCGCCTTGTTATCCTCTTGAAGCTTTTCAATGGTTCTTCGTAAACCCTTGGAAATTGCAATTTCCCTCCTCAGTGTTTCCTTTAAGTTTTTCACCTCTTCCAACAAATCCTTCAACTCTAGAACTTCGAGGCCGCCACGTTTGTTTGAATCATTGACACATCTTTCCCTCTGTGTTAGATCATTGAGGAGTGTTGCCAACTCTTGAAGTCTTTTTATAGGTTCTTTGGTGCTCGGGGTAATTGTTTGCGTCTCAGGTAAGTGAAGAACAGGCGCTTGTATCTCATATATTTTGTTTGTCGCTTTTGCAAGCTCTTCGTATTTTTGCTTCCAGTCTTCGTTTTGATTGACTTCTTGCTGACCAGCTTTGAACCTCTCCCTGTCAACCATAACGAGACAAAAAAAACATGTAAGAATGCCCGATTTTGGTCGAGAACTTGGGAAAATACTGATCGGCAAAACTATGTCAATTAAACAAGAAGACTACAGATAAAAATATCTACGTAGATATGTAATGTACTTTCACGTTATCCCGCCCCCAGGCAATCAATTAAAACTACTGAACCTTCATTCTCTAGTTATAGGGATGAAAAAGCAGAGGGGGGGGGCAAAAACGCTAGTAAAACCGAGAGGGAAGATAATGTATCATTGCCGACCATTACATAGTAAAAGTAAGCAGACGATTCCTTGTTTAACTTCCTCGCTTCCTTCCTTCCCCTTCCCTGTGCTCCCTTCCTACCCCGCCCCTTTAAGATACATCTAAGATTTCTCTCGAAAAATTCCACACGGATGCTTAGGCCCCTTCCAAATTACGCCGGAGGAATTTGAAAACGGTGGTTTCCTTCTGAAAATGCATCAAATGCTTTCCGTCCACACAACGCTGGAGGAATTTGAAAATGTAACAATCACCGGTCATTTTGGATTTGTGTTTGAGGAAAACTCGGTCAGGGAAATCACATGATTCTCATGACGCCATCATTTTCGAAAAGCTCCGTTTTCAAAATGTTTTCCTTCCACACGAAAACGAAAAGCCGGCGTTTTCAGTGAAAATTCTCTGATTTGAAGAGCGTTTTCGAAAAGCTTCGTTTTTGGGACGGATTGGTGTGGACGGTAGGCCTAACCGTAGATAGAAATAAACCTCCGTTATCAAATTCCTCTGACGTATTGTGGACGGGGCGCCTTAGTTTCCAAAACATCCGTGTAGTACGCTTGTCTTATTGGCGGTTGCCTGTGTTGGCCATTTTCGTATCCTATAGCTAGTTACAAACTTCACAGCTCTCGCTAGAGTTACCCCATCGGTACAGGTTTCTGGGTCGATTCTCTGACGTCTGCAAACGAGGGACCCGGGGCGAGGGACCTATGGCGTATCTAGCCTGACGTCACATTACCTTATTTGTCTGACGTGTTCGTTCACCTTCTCAGCATTGCTAATACTGACAACCAGTTCCTCTTTGAAACCGATCTTCTTGAATTCCTCTTCCAATCTGAACTTAACTGTTTTCGTCTCCACGTCTTCCAAGAACAACAAGAGGCTCGTTTCCGTGTGACACTGCAATTCCACTAGAATGGAATGCCCGTCTGTTACGTTCGTAACTTCGGGGTCCCCAGTGCCAAAGATCTTTCTCTCCAAAGCTCTTTTAATGGCATTCTCAGAGGGTCCCTTACAGACCAGATAGAACGCCCCTAGTGATAATGCGCCAATGCTTACGGCTCCTGCCAACCAGACATTGTCAATCTTGAGTGAGACGGAAAACCCTGCGCCTGAGAGCGACAAATCCATGGCTGCCTTTGCTCCTGCTTTAGTGATTTCTGTCGCCATCTCAGGGTGTATTTTGATCCATACTGTTTGTCCGAGTTTTATTCACAAGACGGCGTGGACTGCACAATGATTGCTTGTCTCTGTAAAAGAATTTAAGGTATATAAAAGAAAAAAATGCAGACTGTATAAACGAAGCAAGATGCTATAATGTTAAACATGAAAGTATAAGGCTACAGCACGAATGTTTTAACAAATGTTTTTAAGCTATTACAAACACTTTCTGCGAGTAAAGAAAACCTCAGAAGGATTCAATTAGTAATTTAACCTGACAGTTATCCCTCTTGAAAGTAGGCTCTAATATTATGAAAAAGCCTCACCATCCCTAAAATGGTGTGATTGCGTGACAACTAAAACATCGTATGTTTGAGTCACGCACTAATAGCACGCTCTCCCAGAAATAAACACTCAAGTCGAACCAAAACGTATTTGATTTACATCCACTTAATGAAGCACTCAGTTACTTTTTCGGCGGCAAACTCATTCGAATGAAGTCCGGTAGTGGCGGTTTAGCTCGGTTTGAGTGTATCCTCCAACCCTGCACAGCAAAAATCTATCAAGGTTGATCGAGCATTTACGATTTTCTTCGCAGTCTCGCGCTATAGCCTGGCCTGAATTACATAGCAAATATGTTCTATCCCTTTAAGATTTTCTATAGATAAGAAAACTGACATTGAATTATTTCCTCTTCTTTTCGCAAACTATGGCAGCCATATCTCATAAACAGCGTGACAGCTTCCCATCATTGAATTTAAATAATACCCAACAACAAGCTCAGTTACCTTCTACTCACTCGTCTCCTTGTTATATCCCTTGGCAGTTTGCTTCAGCAAAAGTGAAAACTCAAGTATTTTATCATCAAGACGACTATAATGTACAAGTGAGTCTGCCAGTCACTACTGAACCTCTGTTGAAGAGGTTGTTTGCCTGAACTTGCGGTAATTTAAGCTGGGTCAATACATTTTCTGGGGGAGTAGGAGGGGAAGAGCATGTGCCGAAGGTCGCCTGCGCCCATTGAACAGAAAAAAGAACAGGTGAAAACAACGTTCGCTACGTTCACCGCTTATGGTAGACTATAACCAGAAACGGAAATGGTCGAAACAAGCCGAGAAAACCTTTATTATGAACGACTTTCCCCTTGCATTCCCTTTGATTTTATAACGTTACCAAGACGTTACTTCTAGTTTCCTAAAATAAGGTATATTAAAAAAAAAAATTCCAGAGTAACGAGGTCGCGGTTTAGGATTACCAGGTAGAGAAGGGGTGGGAAGCCAAAGGTGGCTTGAGGTAAAATATCTATTCAACGGAAGATAGACGAAAAGCTGCGACGAGAATCAGCCGTTTCAAGTTCCGGTCAAAATCTACTGGAACTATCTAGAGAGATTTACCAGGCTCCCGACGGGCGCGACAAAAAAAAATTAGCCCAATCGGGAGCCTATTGACAGGCTTTGATGAATGAGCACAAACCTAGTACTTACGCTTTCTAGCTTCAGGCTTCACACCATTCTCGTGCTGATAATCTCCTTTTCAACAGGTCAGTAGCGCTCTGGAAACCCAACTAGCCTGAGTAGCAAGTGTTCCGATCTTTTTCCGCATTCTGGGCGCGCGCAAATTGGAGCGAGAGCCAAAAAAATATCACTCGTCTGCCCCATCAACCCCTGCTTCGTTAACCTGCGTAGCAGTCTTTTTCGTTTCCTTTCAGGCAAGCGGGAGTTGCGCGATGGCACGAGGACAGAGGTACCAAAAAATTAGTGACTCTTTGCTCTCGCCCCATGCGTTCGCGCGACTTCCCCTTGGCTCTCGCTTTCTCCCGCTAAGAGGAAACGGAAAAGACTGCTACGCAGGCTTTCTGGCTCTCGCTCCAATTTGGGCGGCCAGAATGCGGACTGAAAGTTCTAACTACGGGAACGCTTGCTACGCAGGCGAGGAACCCAACCGGAATAGCGTGCAGGAACAAATGCACTGTCTACGATAAGAAGATACTAACAATAGTCCATATTGTGATAAAATATGGAATCACCACCAGTGATGGGCTCCTGGAATCACGCATTACAGAGACGAATGTCCGAATCTGGAACATTTTAATGTTAAACTAGTAAGCAAAGAACCTAGGCAGAGTAAATTTTTTTTCCTCGCCAACTATTGGAAATATTTGAATTCGCTCCAGTGCGACCTGGCGCTTCTTAGCTGATTGCTTTAACCGTCAAAAGTATAAACAGAAAAAACAGTAGATATATTAAATTACAATATTTAGAGAGAAAGCCACTTGTGTAATAACTGGTTTTCATTCAGGGATCTGTCCTGGCCCCCTCTCTGTCAAGCAACGCTAGAACTGGACTACGGTCGAATTGGAATTGAGAACTGAAAAACCAAAAAAAACATTAATAGCAATGTGGTTATTGAACAAACAAAACTTTGATATTTCATATATTCACTTGCAAACAAAACTTTCTTGTATTCCGTGAATTTCTATCTAAAATCACAAGAAGGGCTAGCAGGTAAAAGAAGATGATTTAAATGAAGTTGACGGGCTCTAACGAGTATGCAGCTAAAGCTTTTTTGAAACAGCAAGGACAAAAGAGAAGCGTCACTTGGATTGTACTCGACAGTTCAACTACAGCTGAGCTTGCTCGAAGCGGACACTTCCCGTAAACTGGCAGCTTTGTCCACACACGGGAGTTTGGACTGTTCAGTAGAACGTCTGTAATAAGGACACCAAAGGCACCGAAGTGTTCGTAAGAGTGAGGTCCGAGGGGAAGCCTGCCACATAAAAAGGACGGGGGTGCTAGTCGGAAATTTTAAAAGAACCTCTAAGAGGTGGCCAACTGCCAAGATTCCGTTTTGGGGGCGTGGCTTGAAATTTTTTCCACCCCTAAGAGTTACCAATTCTAACGCAACACATTAACTATAGCTATAACGCATTAACTATAACTGTAATTACTATAGTTGTCATTTATATACGTTCGTATTTTTAACGAGTTCTTAGCTCCTCGACGAAACGTGTTAAAATAAATGACTGATTGATTGATTGATCTGACTCTTGTTTTGGCTCAGTACTGTGGTGTCTTCGTCCTAATACACTAAACAACTCGGGTCATAACAACATGTTTTAATCGTTTGACATCTCGAGACCAAATGCTTGCTACAATATATCCCATAAAAATAAAACAGTAACAATGAACATACGGGACACTGTAGCTTACGGCTCTTGTTGACGCTACGTGTAGAGATTTCGAACTCACGCTCTGTTGAAGAGACTCGAGGAGCCCGTTGACTATTGAAACATCGAGCGAGGTTCGACCAGAAAAATAAATAAAAATACCTGTGAAGAAGAGCTGAGCGATGAGAAAAATACAGGGCAGAATATAAAGACTTGCAAATGTTTCCTGACTGTAGCGATGACGGTGAAGCTACGTAGAGTATAGATTCCGCAACAATATTAACTTGAAGCTAGAGAAAACGTTGAAAAGATTGGCGTGCTAAGAAACCGTAGCGTTTAAATAGTCCTAATTTGCATACATAAATGGCAAGCTAAAATAAAAATTTGCACGTGGAATCCTACAGACACTACAAGTACTCTAAAAGATACCGCGCAAGCTCTTGCTGTGTGAGCTTTGAGGCTGAACAACTACGAGGCACCAAATCCGCTTTTTAACCCCTAAAAGGCATGACGAGCACCCCGTCCGTTTTATACGGGAGAACTGCGGGGAGTGATATGTCAGGTGTCAGTATTAAAGACGTCACAGGCTCAAATATCGTCAAAACTAACCCCAAACAAGAGAACAGTTCCAGATGACCAAGTTCTCTTATTCCAAACATAAAACATACTCCTAAAACAGTAAAAACTATGCAAGGAGGTTTTAAGTTAAACTAAAATCTTGTACCTCAAAGCATGTCGTGCTTTGAGGTACATCTAAATTGTTCAATAGACGTTCAATGTCGCTATCGTTTACGACCGTGAAGTGACAAGAAAATTCTTTGCCAGTGTCATCGTCTTTCACCAGAGAAACTCTAAGAACAAGATAGAAATCGCGATGATAAATGCGATGACGAATTTCAGTCTCTCGGGTTGAGATTTATAATCTGAAAACCCTATCGCAGAGTGTCAACCCTCTTTAATACAGACCCCCAAAGAGGCAGATCGGAGTGTTCGTATTATAGAGGTGGCCGTATTATGGAGGAAAAGATTATATGAATTCTGGTCCCGTTAGATAATATCGAGGGGATCGTATTATAGGTGTCCGTAAGGAAAGGTTTTAAAATTCCGTGGTTAAAATGTGAAAACGAAGATCTCTACTATGTTATTTAACCGTGAGCGATGATGAAATAAAATGTCTCACTCCGAAAACTGCGAACTTCTCGACCAAATTTAGAAGAAACAGTCGAACCTCCACTAACAGTAACCTCTCTGCAACATCCACTATTTTTGGTCCCGGCGGGCAGTCCATACATTCACTCTTATTTTTACCTCTCTACAACGGCCACCTCTCCACAACGGCAACGGCCACTAAAACTCGTCTCAACTGCCAAAATGATCTCTCGACAACGGCCAGTTAATCGACGACTGACGAACGGTGTATATAAAAACCCCATACAGTTTTATTGTAAAAGGTCACCAAACTTGATCCGTACCGCGCGCGGTTGATCTCTGTTTCTGTTAAGATTCTTTTTTATTGATACATTTTATGCATAAAGTATGTTTAAAGACGCATTTCTGGACAAAAAAAATGGGTGTCATATTACACCCCTACCTCCGCGTAACGGCCACCTCTTTACAACGGCCCCTTCCTCTGTCCTTGGCCGCTGTAGAGAGGTTCGACTGTAGCTTTAGAAAGTAGAGTATTGTAGTTTTGCCCATAGAGTAATAAGCGGTAACCGCCATTTAGTCAAACGTTTTGAATATTCAAATTCGAAAAAAAGAGTCAAGTCAGGCAACTACGGGTTCGGTTCATACGTCGCACTTCTGCCGTGTCGAATTCAGTTCAATGAATTAAATCGAATCGGCTGCCGCATTTCTGCCGCACGTTCGACTGGTCTTGTCGTGTTATCCAACAGAAATGCGACATCGATTCAAACGTGGAATTTATCTAATACATACATAATGTTAAGCATGCGTAAATTTGGTCCCGCCAAAGAAAAAGAAGAAACTTGGCCATTCTCGACCCAATCCAACCTGAGAATATTGCAACACATACTGCTCCGTTGTCAGCCTTCTCCTTCTCGTTCCATTGGCGGACAATTTTTCGCAAAATTAACGTCCTTCGTCGCTCAGGATCTTCGTCCGCCATATTAAATAGGCTACATTTAAAACATTTTCCCCTGACCGACATACCCGACAGTATTAATTCTGAATTAACTGCGTCACAAGTGCGACGTATGAATCGACAGTGGCATTTCTCCCGCATGAATTCGACACGGCCGAATGCGACGTATGAACCGGGCCTAGGACATTTGTTACCCTCCCAAAACAGAATGCTAGTCCATCGCACATTACTCCCTATCTAGCAGTCTATCAGTTTGTTGACAAGAAAAGTATTTTTGATTTGTGGTGTATCCATTCTCTTTCCAACAATGTGATACTAAGACACTTAATTTACAAATACCACTAAGGCTCTATAATAGTGATTAAAATATATGCCACTAAAACTACTAAAATGCAAACATCATTATATCAAGTTGAATAACCTAAATACTAATGTAATTATCGTTTAAGGATGTTCCAGGCTTTTCATTTTGAAAAACATGCTAGATATTTCTACCACTTAGATACTGCCTAAGGTTCCATTCCCTCACATAACAGGCTTGGGCTGCCCGTGATCAAATCTACAACTTGCTTACGATGGTCGTGTACTACACGAAAAATGTAGCCTGGGCGATTTTGTCTATATACTATTTTCCACAAGGCGAGCCGCGCTTCTACAAAAATCGCTTGTGACAAATTCTTTGT